CCATGCAAGTCCAATGAAGGGCCTAGCACGTCAAAACGAACATTTGACGTAGCTATGGAAAATACTAGCGAGGGATCCGGAGAAGAACCCGAATCCAGACGTAGCAAACGTGCTAGAGTCGAAAAATCCTTCGGACCGGATTTTCTCACCTACCTGGTAGAATTTGAATCGGATATTCTAACATGTATGGTAGAAAATGAACCGGATTTTCTAACATGTTTGGTAGAAAATGAGCCACGGACTTATACGGAAGCCGTGACGTCTACTGAAGGTCCTATGTGGAAAGAAGCCATCAAAAGTGAGGTGGATTCTATCCTTAAAAATCACACATGGGAATTGGTTGATCTTCCTCCGGGAAATAAACCTTTGGGATCCAAGTGGATTTTTAAACGGAAAATGAAACCGGACGGTTCCATCGATAAGTACAAGGCCAGACTTGTAATCAAAGGATACAAGCAACGTGAGGGCCATGATTACTTTGACACATATTCTCCTGTAACGAGAATAAATTCCATTAGGATGATACTAGCAATTGCCGCATTGCGGAAATTGGAAGTTCATCAAATGGACGTAAAAACCGCTTTTCTAAATGGCGATATAGACGAAGAAATCTATATGGAACAGCCCGAGGGCTTTCGTGTTCCAGGTCAAGAAAGGAAAGTGTGTAAATTAATTAAATCATTGTATGGATTGAAACAAGCCCCTAAACAGTGGCACGAAAAGTTCGATCATGCAATGTTAATTAATGGGTTTAAAATAAACGAAAGTGACAAATGCGTCTATGTGAAGAGCACGGTAGACGGCTATGTCATTTTATGTTTATACGTGGATGATATACTCATCGTGGGTAGCAATAATCTAATGATTAATTCTACCAAAAGCTTGTTAAATTCTAAATTTGACATGAAGGATATGGGGCTGGCCGATTTAATCCTTGGGATTAAAATAATTAGAGGACCTGACGGTCTAACGCTAAGCCAATCCCATTACGTTGATAAATTCCTTACTAAATTTAATAAGGATGATTATCAAGAGGCAAGGACGCCTTTAGATAAAAACACTCATCTTACCAAAAATCGTGGAGAGTGTATTTCTCAAGTAGAATACGCTAGGATTATTGGAAGTTTGATGTATCTAATGAGTTGTACCAGGCCTGATATTGCCTTTGTGGTTAGTAAGCTAAGTAGATATACTAGCAACCCCGGTGATGAACACTGGAAGGCAATAATACGGGTTTTGAGGTATTTACGTAAAATCCAAAACCTTGGACTGCACTATGGAAGATATCCAGCTGTACTTGAAGGGTATAGCGACGCTAGTTGGATATCCGACATAAAGGACTCTAAGTCCACAAGTGGATATGTTTTCACTTTGGGAGGTGCAGCCGTGTCATGGAAATCCTCGAAACAAACGTTAATAGCTAGATCCACGATGGAATCTGAGCTAATAGCATTGGATAAGTGCACTGAAGAGGCTGAATGGCTATGCCATTTTCTCGAGGATATTCCAAGTTGGGAGAAGCATGTCCCTCCAATATGCATACATTGCGATTGTCAAGCGGCAATTGGGAGGGAACAGAGCAATCTCTACAATGGTAAGTCTAGACACGTTCGTCGTAGACATAACACCATTAAACAACTCCTCACAACGGGTGTTATCACTGTTGACTACGTGAAGTCAAAGGATAACATAGCGGATCCGCTAACCAAGGCATTGGATAGAGAATTGTTGGAGAAGTTGTCACGAGGAATGGGTCTAAAGCCCGTGAATTGAAAAGTTCTATAGTGGATACCCAACCTAGTTGGTCCTAGGTTCAAAAGGGACAACTAAATTATAGAGCGAAGGATGGTCACTGTGGGGGTCCCGGACTCCTACCCACTCCTCGTTAAAAACAGTGACTCCCGCACGAGGTTAGCAAAAACGTTTGCTTTAATGATTCTAAAATGTTGATCTACTCGATAACATTGGAAGAGTATGCGGGATACTCGTGAAAGAATCACCTATGTGAGAGAGAAGAGGGCCGCTTCGAAAGAGAACTGTAAAGGCTCAGTTCTTTAGAAACTCTTGCAGAACCAGGACGGTGACCCATGGCCAAAACGGGCACACCCATGAGAACGGAACAAAGTTGGAAGGTTCTTGTGTAAAGATAAGTCAATGTTTACACGACGGCAGTATAGTTCAAGGACATCGAGTCTACTAGACAGCCAGTAAATAAACGTGTCTTTACAACGGAAGGTTCAAAGGATAAAACCTACCTCTCCGTATGCAAGGATCATCCGGTGAACACAACGTGTCCTCCTATCTTCGTGTCTTTTTAAGTCTCGAAAATCAATTTTCATTCATGTGGGGGATTGTTGGAAAAATGTGTTAAAAATTGCATTAAATGGTCATTTTGGGGCAATTATTTGAGTGGGGTCCACTTCCGATTTGGGTCGGGTCAAAGTGGTTTCGGATTGTCCTTGTTAAGGGCTACAATTCGATATATGGTACGCTCAAAACGGATAACGGGTGAATGAGAAATTGATTCTCGAAGTTCGCTCGTTGTAATGGAAAAACTGGGAAAATGATGAGTTTCTAGTGTGTTTTATCCCACACCGAAAAACTCAAGGGATTTTCACCCCCTTTTAAAGGGAAGCCTCTTTTAAGGAGTTAAGATTCCTAAAGGGAAAGGCTCTCTCTTACGCGCAGGGGGGGTGCCGATCAAATCCCGAAACGGAGAAGAAAAACCGCGACTCGTGTGCGCGGGCGACCTGCGGACACGAATGCCGTCCAAAAATTTATTTCTCAAGAGATACGGTTGGCTACGGACAGAAACCCTCCAAGGGGAGTTCTGTTGGCTACAGACAGAACCCCTCCGAGGGGTGTTCTGTTGGCTTCGGACAGAACCCCTCCAAGGGGTGTTCTGTTGGGGTCTTCTGTCACGCATTTCTTCCGTTACAACTATTAATGCCCAACGTTCTTCTCTTTTAATGCAGCGTTAAATGGACAGTTTATGGACGATTCAATGCCCAACGGACTGGTCATTGATGTCCAACGTTCAGGTCCATTAACACCCCATTTAACTCACAACAAATCCTCCTATAAATAGCTGGCAGGTGCTTTGCAACAGACACACGGTTTGACAACGCACATCACTTTCCTCACGTTTTCTTGAGTTAAAAAACTCTTCCAGCTACTCCCAAAATCCTTCTGTGTTCATACTTGGTTCTCGTTCGCTGGAACTCTTGTTTGTGTGCTCAAACATTAGTTCGTAGTCATCGTATCCTGGGAAACGATTGTTGCAACGCTCCTAGCACCGTGGGAGGCAACAAATACGTTTTAAGGAAATCGTGCGTAGCACGAGCTTTGGCTAATTATGCTTCATCTCCTTTCTTGTTTTCCTCTAGTCATTTTATTTAATTAATTTATTTTAATTATTTTTCTTTATTTTCCGAAACACACCCAACAGTTTCGTTTTAAATCTGCATAAGCTTTTCGACTTAGCGGCTAAGAAGAAATATGGAAGACGTGGAGAATCGGGGCTGCTGAATTTGCCGATCGACGTAACCTTCTGGAGGTAGCGGCGAAGAACAAAGATGGACGGCTGGGAATTGGGGCTGTTGAATGTGCCAATCGGGTGGGGATTTGTGTTTTTCTAAATTGGGTTCTGGGCTATTAGGCTAGGATCGGATTGGGCTAAATTCTGGGCTGTATTAATATGATCTGGACTGATTCAAATATGTGTTTATACATTATGTATAGATATAATATTTGTTTACATATACTCCCTCCGTCCCTTATAACTTTGCCAACTTTCGTTTTTTGGTTGTCCCAAAAACTTTGTCACTTTCCCTTTTAATCAATCAATTTGTGACTCATGTTATTTCTCTCTCCTCTGCACAAATCTCTACCACACAGTTTTTACTTTATTATTCTACATGCCGGTCAAACTTAGCAATCCTTTTAGGGACATAGGGAATATCTTTTATGATATTAAAATTCAGATAACAAAAATGTTTTAAAAACTTATCCTTATAAACATAAGATATAAAATAAATTTATATTTTTAAAATGGGGTAATTTGAGTTTAATTTGCACCTCATATTATTGTCTAAATTGGACTTTGCACCCCGTTTTAAAAAGTCTTTGTTTTTGCACCCTAACCCCATATGAAAAGACAAAAATGCCCCTCCATTAACAATTTTGCACCCTAACCAATTTAGACAATAATATGGGGTGCAAACTCAAATTACCCCTTTTAAATTTCAATGATAGATTTTTTTTAAAAAAATAGATGGCTCTTTTATTTTGAAATTTGTGATGTATTATATTGATTCTAACCCAAATGTGAATAAAAAAATATAGTTATTTTAAAATTCAAATAACATAAATATTTTAAAATATATGTAGAAAAATTGAAAGTGTTATTTTTTTCATATCCAATTAGTATTTGATTATAGTTGTTTTTTATAAAATCACTTAAAATTATTAACTTTTTTTATATAAGATGTACTGTTAGATAGGCATGCTTTCCTTGATTAACTTAATCTCTTATGTCTCATATGCTATGACGATAAATAAGATTCAAAGACAATCATTGTCCGATGTTGGATTAGTCTTGAAAAAACATGTTTTTAGTCATGGTCAGTTATATGTTACGCTTTCACGTGTAACTGATCCTGCAGGTTTGAAAATAGCTATATGTGATGTAGATGAGAAAAGTACCAATGTAACAACTAATGTTGTATTTAAGGAAGTATTCCGAAATTTGCAAGACATTTTGTTTTCAAATTGTTATTATTCCGAAATTTTCAACATTCGTTCTCTTCATTTATATATTTATATTGGTAATATTAAACATGCTACTCTGATGTATGCACCCAAAGTTAATTTATGTATTAATTTTATATTTCAAATATTTAATTTTTATCTTGTGCTATATATTGTTGCATATGATTATTTCCCGTGCATCGCACGGGTAGAATACTAGTACAAAAGAGAGTGGAAAAGCAGACAAAATTCCCGCCTAAAGATACGGGTTAAAATAACGGGTCGGATGTTTGGGAAATTTTAATCCTTACGTACGTAGGGCGCATTAAAAATAGCTTTGATAATGTGATGGCTGTCCGCCTGTCACACGGAGTTGTCGATCTCAACTGTTGAAATGATATTTGTTTGCGCCTTGGATAAAGTAAAAGATGTCAGAGAGTAACGTGTATGGGCGACTTTTTTTTGGAGCTGGCTTCCCATTTCCCCAAATGCCAGCAAAAAAAATGTATCGGCCTTTGAAACAATTTTGAACACAGCAAGCATGTCGTTAATTTCCTGCAAGGCTGCAAGTCGACTTCCATCTATCCACGCCGTTGTGTTAGCCAGCCATTAGAATTCTGAACGCTAAGGGTGTAACAAACGATGATGAAGACTATCAGAAAAGCAGAGCTGGTCACCCTCAGAGAACAACAAGAAACAAGCTTGAAAACTGAGACGCCGACACGCCGTCACCCAGAGCCCAAAACCCCCGACTTCTGAGATCGACAAGAGTGCGAGACTCAAAGCCGGAAGAGGCAGCATGGGACGATTGAAGATTCTGATTTCAGAGCTTAATTGCTTCCTACGCAGTATGATATTCTTCTGAAGCTCCAAGTAATTTCAACCTTCCTGGTACGAGAGTCGTTGGTTAATTTCTTCAGACCTTCTTTCTGCAATTGGGAGTTCTACCACTGTCCACGGCTACTCTATTGAAGCTGCTGGACATATTTTATTTTTTTATTAATCACATTATATGTACCTTTTTGTTACTAACTTAAGAAGAAATGTTTTAATGTTTTTATTATTATTAATTATCAATCATTTATGTTTTGTACTAATATTTTATATCTATCATTGTATTAGTCATTTAGTATTTTGATGATTTTTCTATTATTTGGTACCGACTATTATCTAAGGAGTATATACTACGTATATGGGCGATATATGCCAATCATGTGGCCATTCTCATGACAGTCTGACAAGTAATTAGAAATTTGACTCCACATGAATTGATATTCTTTTATAAAAATGTAATGATATTTTAGTAACTCTGTTGATTGGTATGTGAAAAATAATAGAGTATCAAAAACTACACGTTTTGGTGCATTTTGCACATGTATATGTATATGTATATGTATATGTATATGTATATGTATATGTATATGTATATGTATATGTATATGTATATGTATATGTATATGTATATGTATATGTATATGTATATGTATATGTATATGTATATGTATATGATGGGTACTTTGGATATGCTTTATTTCAAACATGTACTTTTATTCATTTGAACATTAATCAAGAGAAATTCAAGGAATTTAAGAGCTTAAGTGTAGGTTTGAGCTTCCAACACTCACTTTTGTTTTGGGCCTACCCATTGGACAATATGAGTAGCTTATTATAAATAAAGTATAGCAAATAGATCTATTAATTTCTTGAGTCGTGAATAGCTTATTATTAGATAATATTTGTTAATACGTTGTCAATTTTGGGAATAAAATATAAAATAAATAAAATAAATGAAAAAGTTCAATTAAAGATGTTTTGAAATGGTTTTCCTAAAATAGAATTAATAGATCTATTTGCTATTTTATAAGATGGCAATAATTTTATTTAAGTTTGTGAAAATAGAATTAAAATATTAAACAAACAAAATCAAACAAGAATAAAAAAATTGTACAAATCCAAAGGGGATCTATATTTGCATTTAGTAAATAAAAGTGATTACGGAGTGTTATTTATAAAAATGTGATCACTCAAGTGTATTGATTATATAAATAACTTAGTTATAGTAGCGTAATGTTTACTCACTTCGCCCCGTTAACATTGTCTCATCTTTCCTTTTTAGTCCTGTTTCACTAAAATTGTCTTATACTAATAACACATTTGTGTGGTTCCAAATCATTCTTACTTTATTTTTACTTTTATCAAATTTATATCAACCACATAAATTCACTTTTCCTAACAATAGCATCACCTTCACATGTCCTAATTTTAGTGGGACGGTGATAATATTACAATTTCATTTAATTGCATTTACACATTGCATTTATTCAAAAACAATCATCTATTATTATTGTAAGCAAATAATACGGAGTAATGCATAATATTTTACTAATCTTTTCCCCGTGCATCGCACGGGTGAAAATCTAGTTCATATTAAGAGTAGAATGAATTTGTATTATTCATAGAATTAATAATAGAAATTACCTTAAATAGGAGTAAAAAAGCTTTAAAATTCCAAAATAGGAGTATCATGTTTTTTATTCCCTGAATAGGAGTAATCTGCCAAGTTTTGAAAAAAATGTCATGTTTAAAAGCCTAGTAATGCCAAATTAGGCAGAAATTTACTCCTATTTATTTAATACTACCTCTGTCCCTTAAAACTTTGCCAAAGTTGACCGACACGGAGAATAATAAAGTAAAAACTGTGTGGTTGAGCTTTGTGCAGAGGAGAGAGAAATAACAGAAACCACAAAATAATTGATTAAAAGGGAAAGTGGCAAAGTTTTTTGAGACGTCCCAAAAAGGAAAGATGACAAAGTTTTATGGGACGGAGGGAGTAAAAAACAGACACTCCTATTTTGGAATTTCAAAACTTTTTTATTCTTATTGAGGGAATTTACTCAAATAATAATTATAATGATACAATTGTAATGTTTAAATTTATTACTAATGGAACCAAAGAGTAGAAACAACATTTATATGATCTTGGTCCAAAAGGTGGAATCTCCCACCCCAGGAGCACCCCACCCCGACCCGACAGGATGTTGGAGAGGTTAATCACAGTGACTCAGTCAGCAAAGCGGCAGTATACCTTATACACGTGCGAACCAGAGATTCAGCCTTATTTCAGGTTCTGTAACCTCCACACGGCCGCCGCGAGTTTCGAACCTTGATCACTTGGTCCAATTTTCCCACCACTCGACCAACTGAGCTACCCGAGCATTTATATGATCATATATCCAATATACAAAGTAGTTTTATTTCATTTCATGGTGTGACTAGCTAGACGACTAGTACTTTTCCCTTATATTATGTATATACGTACGTAGTGTTAATTAATGCATACAATACGAAGCTAGCTAGTATTGTACTATCTCCTTTCCCATTTTAACTTCCAAATGGGTTTGACACAAAGTTTAAGATAGTGGATATTGTGTGGTGGAGAGTTGTGCAGAAGAGAGAGAAATGTGTAAGAAATGTTGTGAAACACAAATTATTTAACAAAAAGAGAAAGTGGAAGTTTTAATTGTAGTAGTAGCATAAGTTTATTTATGAAACGTGTTATTATATAAGCATCCAATCAATATAATTGCATGAGTTTATTTATGATGAATGAATGCCACATTGCCACGTAAGCTAGCAGCTAGGCCTTCTTAAAGTTGACCTCAAAAGTGGGTAAGCTCATGTCAACTTTCAGAAGCCTTTTTCCGGCTTTGTTGACGGAGATGCCAATATCTTGGCACACCGGGTTGCAGTCGCACAAGGACACCGGGCAAAAATTAAACTTATAGCCGTTGACCGACTTCAGAATCATGAACCAGTTGACCGCCGTCGAGCTGCTCGGGTTCCCCTTCACTCCGCTGCTCACGACGAATTGAGCGACGTCGACGTTCTCAGGATCATTGCCGGAGATTCTCCAGACGTTGGAGCACTTGCCGGCGTTTGCGGCGCTAGGGAATATCTCAACGTTGAGATCCGTCCCGTTCACGACGACGCCTTTCTTCGTAGCCACCGCCGGAGTGAAGACCACGGCGCCCCCGGTCACTTTGGGGCCGACTTGGATGACGCTCCTTGGGCATCTAGTAGTTGGGGTTAGCAGATCAAGCCCGCCGCCTTGGGTCTGGCTCACCGGGACGACGTAATACTTGACACCACTTTGGACGCCGTTCCCGTCGACGTCGAGTACGGACACTGCAGCCTCCCCATGAAAGAAAGAGGAGAGGAAGAGAGAGAGCAAGAACGATAACGATGGAAGCGAAGTCTTCATTTTGTGTTGATGAGTGATGAGTTGGTGTTAGTAGGATCGGACGCCGCATAAATATAGCAGGCGTTACACTGGCGTATAGGCTAGGGTTTGAACTTGGGAAAATTCCCCAAAATAATTTTAAAATTCTAAAATAGAATTATCATATTTTCTATTTCCTAAAATAGGAGTAATTACTACCAAGTTTAGAAAATATTGTGATGTTTGAAGTATCTTACTGCCAAAATATGGCACTAATTAGTCCTATTTTGGGAATAAAAACATGACCTATTTTGGAATTTTCAAACCCTTTTAGTCCTATTTCAGGTAATATTCTTTTTGAACTTTGATCCTAGAATAAATTTCACATTTAGAGCCTGTTTGGTACACCGAAATCGGCTGAATTGGTTGATTCTGTTAAAATTTATGAAGTGATTTTATTTGTTGATTCTGCTAATTTATAAAAACATATTTGAAATGTATTTTATTAATAAAATAAAGAAAAGATTATATGAAAAAATAGCTAAAATGATCATCCACAGTAAATTTAGCCAATACAGCCATAAAAGTAACTCCAACATTACTTTCTCATATTATTACATAATTCAACGCACGAAATCAAAAGTTACGTATTTGATTAAAAAATTGACTGAAATTTCAAAAAACAGAGTCACCAAACGACCTCTAAATCTATGTTTAATCTAAGTTTTTCGCTTTGTCCATTTTTTATATATCACTATAGTATTTTGGCTCATATATGATCATTTGGGTAATGTTTTCAGTGATTAAAATCGTCAAAGAATAATCACAAATAGTCAAAAAAAGTTAATCTAGTATTAAAAGTGAGCAAAAGCATGAACTAAATATAAAATTTAGGAACAACCGCAATTAATTCGTGAACATGCAACAAAAGCGCCCTACGTGACTACAATTGTCTTCGGCAGCAATGTGCTCATAAGTTGTCATTGGGTAGTCAATTCGGAAATCGGAATTAATTCAACATCGAGTTTTGTGTCAATTACAGTTTTAGTCCACCTCTTTTATTTTGTCAACTTTTGATACTTGATTAATGTTTTTATCTGTTTGTGGTATTTTTGAACAATTTTAACCATCAGAAACATTGTCAGAAGAACCAGATAATATATAAACAAAAATACAATAGTCATATATCAAAAGTGGACAATATCAAAGATAAGGACTAAATATGAAATTGATCTAAAACTTGTATAATTAAGAATGTTGAATTGAATATCAATTATATTTTATTGTTAGCCGGCCATAGTTGATTCTTGGAGATGGAAAAGTGAGAGGCGGCTACATATCCATATCTAACTTTTTCACTTGTCTCTATTAGGAAATAAGTAACATTCATAAAAGATAATTTAGTTATCTAATATTGAAAATAATATAATCACAGTATCATAACTTCATAAGTATTGTCGATGACCTTATTATAGTATATACTCCCTCCGGTCCCGAATCAAATTCACACTTTCCGTTTTGGGTAGTCCAAAATAAACTTCACTCTTCTTCTCCCTTCTTTATTTGGCAAATTAACTACATCAAAATAGTGCAAAACAGTGCCAAACAGTGCAAAATAGTATCAAACAGTACCAAACAGTGTCATAACAGTGTACTCTACAGTAAAGTCAATATTATTTCCTTAATTTGTGTGAAGTCAAACACTGAATTTGTTTTGGGACGTGAGGGAGTATTTATTAGAACTACTTCTCAAAATATAATCAAATGCTTTTATTCAACTAATATCTAAATCATTTTGTTTGAATGAGAAATTTAAGTCATGAGAAATGTAATACATAGTGGTATTTTAATGCATTAAAGTTATATGCGTATTCTTTCAATAAAAACTCAAGAGGTAGAGTTAAAAGTAGAGAAATTGCCCATATAAGAGTAAACATAAACATAATTGCATAAATAGGAGTTAAATTTAAAACTTCCTTCAATAGGAGTAAACATTAATAATCTACCTTTGATATCCATAGCCTAATTTATTCTAAAATAGGACTTATTTGATCCTATAAAATATAAAAAAAATATAAAATCTTTTAAAAAAATATTTAGATATTAAAAATAAAAAAAACTGTAAAAACAAATAAAAAATAAATTAAATACATTAAAAAATATAAAAATTATAGAGGTCTTTCCTGCAACCTAGGCCACCACCCAGCAATGTCACCTTCAATCGGGGGAAAAATTGCAATTTCATATGAAAACTCTCATTTTTCGTTGAAAATGTCATAATGATGACATTTTTACTCTTTTAAAATGCCAATTTTTTTCGAAAATTCCCATCATGATGGAATTTTTAATAAATGTTGGCATTTTCTCCAGTGGTCGGAGCTGGGAGGTGGTTCAGGCTGCGGTAATGGCCTGCATACTTTTTTTCATTTTTTATTTTATTTTAAATTTTTGTTTTTTATTTAATGTATTTTCATTTTAATAATATTTTATTTTTATTAAATTTATTTAATACATAGTATATGTATATAATGTATTAAAAATTGCAAAGGTACACATAATAATGTATTAAATATATATATATATATATATATATATATATATATATATATATATATATATATATATATATATATATATATACTCCTTCCGTCCCGTTGGAATGTTACCGCTTTCCTTTTTGGATGTCCCGTTGGAAAGTTCCCATTTCCCTAAATGGAAAGTTATCCTACATCAAAACAGGGTCAAACAGTGCAAAACAGTGTCAAACAGTGTCCAAACAGTGTCAAACAGTGTCGAAACAGTGTCAAAACAGTAAAATTTACCCCCTAGTAAGTTTATTTCCTTAATATGTGTGTAGGTCAAACCGGGAACATTCCAACGGGACAGAGGGAGTATATATATATTTGTGTTTTTATTTTTTTACAATTTTATTATAAATTAATTAATGTTATTTCTTTTATGCTTTAATTATTAATAAAAGTGGTTGAGGCTTGGGGTTTGTGTAGGGGAATATTTGTCCAAACACTGCAGTTACTCTTATTCAAAACATGATACTCCTATTTTGCATTTTATCGATGTGTTACTCCTATTTACAGGGATGGATCCCAGGATTTCGAGCCAAGGGGGGCGAATTTTTTCATTAGTGTAGGGGGCGAATTTTTTTTTGCTAGTGTAACAAGGGAAAAAAATCGCTAATGTAGCAGGGCAAAATTTTTGCGCTAGTGGAAGACTCTGCGGCTTATTTTTGTTCAAAAAATTCCATGAGTAAATACACGATGACATTTAAATCTATTACATTCAAATTTTAGACAATGGAAAAATAACTTTCATTTAATAATTCTTAGTGCTCTATAAAGTTATTTGAAAATAAGATAGGATATAATTAACATGTTGTCAAATTATTTGAAGGTAAATAGTTTCAAAGGTACACATAACCTGATGCTTTTTGAATAACGTCTGATTTGTTTAATCACATGAATCTTATTAGAATAAAGAATTGGTTTTTGAATTGCAATTTTTGTCTACGAAGGAGGGTATTCATGGATCACGAGGAGTTTTCTTATCATTACAATAGTATGTACTTCCTCCGTTCTTTTTTAATTGCAACAGTCCATTTTTCACGCTTGCCAACACACAAGTTTGATCATTAATATCTTTCATTCCTTATTAGTAAAAAACTAAAAAAAAATATACTTTGAAAATTTAAAATGAGAGGAATTTAAAAATATTTGTTAAATATTTAATTTACAATACATTAATTAATAAAATATAGTTAAAGTAGAATATGTGAATAGTGTAAAAAATTCAATGTTGCAATTAAAAGAGAACAAAGGTAGTATGAGATGATTAGTTTTAGAATAATATGATCTGTAGTATTGTTAATTCATATACACACAATGCATACTCCGTATTATATTGGTATTAATGCTAAAATAAGTTAAAGTTTATTATCTATGCACGAAAAGTAAGAGTTGTTATATAAATAAAGCACATTACATACTATACCAACTTCACAAAGTTACAACATTTTATGAAACGAGAGCGAATTGGCCACTTGGTGTGAATGTGCGATTCGTAAGTCTCAACCCCCACTTTCAAATAATTTATTTTGTCTAAATTACTAATTTAAATAATTCAAATATAACGTGTGGAGTGAGGTTGTTTTTACTTGGATTGTAATTCGTCTCAGACCAGACCAAACTAGACCAGACCAGACTAAAACAGACCAGACCAGACCAGACCATACCATACCAGACCAGACCAGACCAGATCAGACCAGACCAGACCAGACCAGACCATATTTCATTATTATTATTATTATTATTATTATTATTATTATTATTATTATTATTAATATTATTATTATTATTATTATTATTATTATTATTATTATTATTATTATTATCATCATCATCATCATCATTATTATCATCATCATTATTATCATTATCATTATTATTATTATTGTTATTATTATTGTTATTATTATTGTTATTATTATTGTTATTATTATTGTTATTTTTATTGTTGTTATTATTGTTGTTATTATTGTTATTATTATTGTTATTATTATTGTTATTATTATTGTTATTATTATTGTTATTATTATTGTTATTATTATAGTTATTATTATTTTTATTATTATTGTAATTATTATTATTATTGTTATTATTATTATTATTATTATTATTATTATTAGGGGTGTGCACCGGTTTAAAACCGAACCGGATCGTACCGAACCGGACCGGATATCATTCTGGTTCGATCCGGTTCCGGTTTTTTCCGATCCGGTTCGGTCCGGTTTTCCGGTTTAAACCGGATAGTGCACACCCTAATTATTATTATTATTATTATTATTATTATTATTATTATTATTATTATTATTATTATTATTATTATTATTAGGGGTGTGCACTAGTTCAAAACCGGACCGGACCGTACCGAACCGGACCAGATATCATTCCGGTTCGATCCGGTTCTGGTTCTTCCGGTCCGGTTCGGTCCGGTTTAAACCGGATAGTGCACACTTATTATTATTATTGTTATTATTATTATTATTATTATTATTATTATTATTAGGG